GCTCGCGGGCGATTCGAAGGCGCCTCGGGGGACCTGCGGGTGCGGAATCCTGCGCCCGGAGGAAGCGGGTCCTGCGACGGCGCTTCCACCGCCAGTGTGATCACAGCTGCGGCTTTACTGTGCTCGCTGTCGAGAGGGGATCGACGGACTGGAGGCCGCGGGCTCCCGGCGCGCGCCTGGGACCGAGTCGTCAGCGTCTCCGGATGTAGAAGGTGCGCTTAGAGGTCAAGGTTCTCGGGCTCTGGAGTGAGATCGGCCGCTGAGTCCTGCGGGTCCTCCTGGCCTGTGACCTGCCCCGGCAAACTGCTCAAGGCCTCGGAACCCATAGCTGTACAACAAGAACACTACTGCTATATGTTTTGTAGGTGGTTGAGAGAATTAAATAGTGTCTCTCCAGGGGTTTGCCAGGTACCTGCCCGTGTAAGGACTAATAAATTATCACTAGTGTAGCGATTACTAGAGCAAATCTCAGCAGCCCTCCCATCCTCTGTTTTTCTCGTGTGAGTTCCACACTAAAGTACACGGAAGAAAAAAAAATTTAGGTTTTGAAAAAGAAGAAATAGTTACCTGGGATCTATAAGGGCAATTTCTGTCTTCAGTGATAAGGTGATAGCCATTCTGGTTCAGGTCAGCCAACATTGCTAGGCACAGGGGATGCTGAAAACACAAGGTTCCCCTGATTCTGTAGGAGCTGACAGTGTACCAGCGGGGGTCAGGTGCTGGTCAGTTAGGGAGTCAGTGTGATGGGGTAGGAGAGTCTGTGATGGGGGGTAGCGGAGTCAGTCTGATGGGCTAGGGGAGTCAGTCTGATGGGCTAGGGGAGTCAGTCTGATGGGGTAAAGGGGAGTCAGTGTGATGGGCTAGGGGAGTCAGTGCTGCGGAAACAGGTAGCAGGCCTGTGCGGTTGGAGCAGGCAAGGCCTCAGAGATTTAAATTTGGTACACAGTTGGAGGAACAGCAGATTTTTCCTGCATGCAAGGGAGAAGATACTCCATGAAGAGAAAAAAGCATTAAATACTATATTAAAAGTTTTGAAACTCCTTATAATTTTCCATGTGTTTTTATAAACATGATGTTTATCTCTGCAGCAGATGTTATCCTCTTCATGAATAACATGTTAAGACTCGGGTTTAAGTGACCTGTCCAAAGTTACCTAGCTGCTGAGTTCTATAGCTGCTACAGCGTTGCTTCTACCGTGCCATACAGCCTTACTCACCTAAGCATTTTGAGGGGCCACAGCTTCTGTGATTTATAAAGCACAGTATTCCAACCTTATCTGCCTGTCACAGTCATCTGTAGGGCTTTAAAATTATAGATGTCGCCTGGCCGGGCGTGGCTCAGCGGTTGAGCATCGACCTAGGATCCAGGTGATCAGGGTTCGATTCCTGGTCAGGGCACATGCCCAGGTTGTGGGCGTGATCAATGACTCTCTCATCATTGATGTTTCTGTCTCTCTCTCTCTCCCTCTCCTTTCCTCTGTCTGAAATCAATAAAGATATATTTAAAAAAATAAAAATAAAATTATAGATGTCTGAGCCACCTCCAGACCTATTGAGTCGGAAGGGATGCAGAATGGATGGAAGGGACCTGTACTTACCTTTTTAAAGCACCACAAGTAATTGGGCACATACAACTGAAAATTACTGGATTTCAGCTTTTTTTTTTTTTTAACTTGACAACACAGTTATGTCTAAAAGTTTGATTAACATGAACGTTTTATTTCATATACTCGGAAAATATGAATTCCCAAATTCTCTAGGCTTATGATAGACAATGGGTTTTATAGACATGGTTCCTCCTTGGCCAATAGATTTTTCCTTCATTTAAAACCCTTTCTAAATACAGTGCCAAGGTATGATCAAGTACACAAATGAATGCATAGGTTATTATTTATTGAGAGAAACCAGAGTAAATGTTTGATGGGAGAAATGCCTAAAAGATGAATACATTCTGGCCTAATTGGTCAGGAAATGCGTTCATCTATCTAATGTTTGCAATGAAGGTAACCTAGGTCAATAGTACCAAAGCAACTCTCCTAAAAAGTAATCCCTGGAGATACTTTGGAAAGAACAGGGTTCATGGTCACGTACATTGCTATGGCCACGCATACTGTAGGGAAGGCTGAGTAAACAGGATCGCAGTGATTAGCTTGGCCAGCCACCATCTATCACTGTGGACCTAGCTGTGCTGTTCTGAAAACCATGAACACTTGGGAGATGCTAGCCTTATACACACAAATCCAAACACGTAAACAAATAATTTTGGAGATTGGAGTATATTTGTATTGACAATTTTTCTTTATTCTAAAGTGAATCAGACTTCCTGGTTTCAAACTATCTTGCTTCGTTAGACTTACTTTTCCTGGACAAGTTTCCTTAGAAAGTGCCATATATAAGCTCTGCCCTTTAGTCAGTGTAGAGTAATAGGGCTTATAGAGATAGGTCTCAGATATGTCTATGCAGCACAAACTTCTAATTTCATTAAGAATTAGAAACTGAGGTCCAGACAGGTTAAGTAACTTACTCTAAGTGAGAAAACTTTCTCGCTGCACATCCAGGCCAGCATTTTTTCCATCTTATTGTCTTTTTTGTCATTCTACCTGTATCTTTTTCACTAGTGAAATGATATAGGGTCTTACAGTTACATATATTTATAACTCTGGATTTTTGGGTATTTACATTTCAAGTAAAACATACTTTGTAGATTATGTTTTTAATTATCTGTTTATTTTGTTAGTATTGCTGTGGAAAGAGATACAGCATAAAGGATTAAAAACATTTTTAGCTAACAGCATAATTTTAATTATTTCATAACAATTATTGAAAGTAGAGTTGTAGCATTCAATTTTATGTTAATGTGGTCATTACAGTTATCATTTGCTTGAGTATCTTTAAACATGATTCTAAATAATATAAAGTTTTGTATCTTGTCTCTTAAAAATTGATGTTATCAAACTTTACCTAGATAATGGCTCTTCTTATTTCTTTAATGTTTCAGAACTTAGTTAAAAACCAAACTGTTTTCTATCGCTCTCTCTCCCTCCCTCTCCTTTCCTCTCTCTGAAATCAATAATGATATATTTTAAAAAAAAACACCAAAAAAAATACCAACCTGTTCTCAAATCCCACTTTGTTATGTAGTGGGTTTGCTTTAGAATTTGAAAGCAACGTTTCAAATAAAAGTTCTCCTTAGGGAGTCTTTCTACCTGTGCTGCATTTTATACTATATTACAGCTTCTGAGTAAATGCTAACTCTTTCAAAGTCCAGAATAAAGACTACATTCCCAGCCTCCCTTGCAGCTTGGTATGACTTTGTGACTAACTTTGGTCAATGGGATGTAAGCAGAAGTGATGTGTTTAACTTCCAAGTTTCCTTAACAGTAGACAGCAAGTCTTTCCCTGCTTGGTAGCATTCAGATGAGATGGCTGGAACTTGAACAACATCTTTTTTTCCTTTTTTTTTTTTAATATATCTTTATTGATTTCAGATAGAGGAAAGAAGAGGGGGAGAGAGAGATAGAAACATCAGTGATAAGAGAGTCATTGGTCGGCTGCCTCCTGCACGCCTCTGACTGGGGATCGAACCCCAACCCGGGCATGTGTCCTGGATCCCAACCCCGATCACCTGGATCCTAGGTCGACGCTCAACCGGTGAGCCATGCCTGGCTGGGCTTGAACAACATCTTGGAACACAAGATCCAAGCCACCTGTGATTACACAGAAGCCAGCAGAGCAACAAAATAGGTGGAGCTTTGGGTACCTACTGGGTACGGAACTGTGTTACTAGCCCTGGACTAATACATGGGGGAGAAATAAATTTCTCACTTGTATGTGCCCCTGACTGGGAAATGAACTCACAACCTTTTGATGTACAGGACAGTGGTCCAACCAACTGAGCCATCCGGCTAGGGCCCTACTCATCACTTTTGATAGTTCTTCCCTTAGTCCCATGATTTTGGGAGTGGGTGGTGACAAGTTAGGCCTGGATATTTCTTGCATGAGAGGTCCTCTGCTTTGAAAGGAGGCCCTGGAAAGATGTGGGTGCTCAGACTCCTAGTCAGATGGGATCTGCCCTTATGCTCCTTTGGAGGCTTAGCAAAGGTATCTTGTGCTACACTAGTCAGCTCAGATGTAGGGAAGCATGGAGTATTTATTTCATCAGGACCCTGCCTTTGGCTGGCTGTCTCTTCATGACAACGCTACTCAGTCAAGTCCAGTCAGAAGACAGAAATCACAGCAATAACTTGAATGTAAACATTAACACATACAATGTTGTTAACTAAGTAATTGCAAGGGTAAAAAGAGAACTCTGGTGTCACAGAGGTAGCAGCTGCGGGAAGCAGCTACCACCTCTTTGGCTGGGGAAACAAGACGAAGTCAGGATGATGACAATTAAGAAACTTAGAGGAAAGGGGCATGTGCTACTGGTGCTTTGGTCTCTGAGGGAGACCTGACCAAGTGGTTCTGTGTTTTAGAAGAACTGTCCTCTGGGCTCAGCTACTGCTGCTGGAGTGAAGAAGCAGTGGGGTGAGTTGCGCAGGAACTGCGAGCAGACGGGAGGCAGGGAGGAAGAGGCTCCTTCTCCATCTCCTAGCCTGGCAGCATTGCTGCCCCTTATTGGCAGAGCCAAGCTGAGTTTTCAGGAGTGTGGGTTGCAGACTCCCAGCTTCAACACCACTAGACACAGAACAGAAGGGTGGGTCTGGAGCCAGAGCAGATAACCACGTTGAATTCTTGTTTGAATAGATGTTCCACTCTAAGTATACAGATTCAAGTTAACAAATTAGCTTCCTCCGAGCTTCAGTGGCTTAAATCAGTGCCTAGGTTCTCTTAACAGTTCTTCCAAGGTAACCCATAACAACAGGATAGAATCCTAGTCCAAGATAACTCTAGTCAGATGTCACACCTGAGCTGTAACCCGCCATTGCCCTTTTCCTTCCCCAGGGCTCGATTCTACCCATGACTTTTGGGATACCAAGAGTAAGAAGTGCAGTTCAGGAATGCTGAAATCAACTAGCAGGGGACGATCGTGATTGCTTTAAGTCAGAGGAATCTCATTCACATGTCCCTAATACTCTCCCAGCATTCTTTTAAGCCTGGACATGGCCATGTTACCCAATATTGGCTAGAGAGATGGAGAAACCTGCTGGCGAGGCTTCTGGGTTTACTGCTTAAGCAGCTGGGCATGCCTTTCCCCTTTTATTCTCGAGAAGCGGGGCTGAGAATGTAATTCCTGAAACTGAGTCAGCCACCTTGCAACTATGGAGTGACAAGCATGAGGACAGAAAGCACGCAGAGGAGGCACCCTGGAGAAACAGAGCCAGTTCCTGATGAAACTGTTGAGCCACTGCACCAGGTCTGGGACATCTACTTGCAGACTTGCTGCTACGAGCATATGGTTGTGCTCAAGCTACTGCTTGGTTCCCTGTTCACTGCCTGCTGACTGATCCATTCCTCCAGGACAGGAGAGCTGAGCAGCCTGGCCTCAGAGCTCGCTGGAAGTAGATGGCATGAAGAAACAACTGCAGTCATATCAGGTATCTGAGAAGCATGTCCTGTCTAAGAAAAGTAAAAGAAATTTGAATATGGGGCCTGTCTCTAGTATATAATACATCACGATTTAAATAACACAAAAATAGAAGAAACAGTATTGTGCAGATTCGTTTCCTGTCTTGTTTGTTTGCTCTTTTCTATGTGCCCAAGTCCCTTGATGTGAAAATGCCCTGTTTCCCCCCATCCCTTTCCTGGCCCCCTCCTTGGCATCTTGGAGCCATGTGAAGAATGTGAAGAAACGTTCCAAGGGTAGCAGGTAACAAATCCTACTGGGCACTAGCTTGAGGAAATCATAACCCATAAATATCCTTAAGTACACATATTTAGCTATTTGGAAATCTTAAAAATGGATCTTACATATTCTGGTAAATGACCCAGCAGTAGTTTGAAAAATAGAATATTCCAACGTACAAGGACATGTGCTAAAGGCAAATTAAGAGAATTCCAGGAAAGTTACTCTTCAAACAAATAAGCTACTAGGAAGGCATGGGCATCACGTCTTTTCTAAAATTAGTTACAAGTTCTCATCTATCGGTGTTCTTTTTCCCTGCATTTGTATATTTGAGACAATAGCACAAAGTGAAGATGCTGATTTCTTTTTTTAGATAAATGTGAATGTCTGCAAATATACCATTTATTTAGTACCTACTGTGTATGAAATGCTTTGTCATGACATCTCATTTACTTTTCACAAGCCGAGCTTGAGACGTTAAAGGGTTAAATAATTTTTGCATAGGTAGAAAGTAAATGCTACAGCTAGAATTAATCCTGTCTGATTCCAAAGCATGTGTTCTTACTCCTAATACTGGACTGTCTCCCATATTTTATGTGTTATGGAGTCCTCATTATCGGGCACTTTTTCTTACTAGTCTAAAGGTTCACATTTCCTCAAACTGGTGAAGTTATTGACATTTCAGCCTCAAAAAATTACTTGATTTTACGTTTTCTGACTTGGGTTCCATTTCCTTTGACCTCAGTTTCCATATTTGTATAACAGGAATACCTATATTAATTTAATAGAACAGATCTATGACTTAAACTATGTTGTACTTTCGATACTTAATGGGAGTTAGTTTCTGGGCACCTTCACATATTCCTCATTCCAGAGGCCTACCCAAGACTTACCCAATCATAGTCTTTGGGGGTGGGCCTGGAATCCAGTTAAGAAAAATGACATTGTTTTATAAAAATCACAGTAGCTTTGTATAAAAATGTCAAGAGTACAGGAAAAGAAAGAAAGTATTTCCAGGAGAGAAGGCTACTCAAGGAAGGTACTGTGGTGGGGACAATATTGATAACAAACAACCCATCCTACTTATTCCCAACCTGCGAGAAATTTATAGATCTTATCTCATTTAATCAGATCTAACCTCAACAATCTTATAAACTAACATATTGGTCACATTTTTTAGATAAAGTAATTAAAGCTCAAAGTCTGAGAAATCTGAATTGGTTTCCTAGGACCTCCTTAACAAAATACCATAAACTGAGTGGCTTAAAGCAGCAGGTGCGGATTGGGAGGCTGGAAGCTGAAACCAAGACGTGGGCAGCGCCATGCTCCCTCTGCAGCCTCTAGGGGAGGGTCCTTCCTTCTTCCATTTTCCAGTAGCCTCCCTGGTTTGTGGCAGAAAAACTCTAATCTCTGCTTCTGTCTTCACATGGCCTTCTTACTTCTGGTCTCTGCCTTCACAAGGCATTCTCTGTGTGTGTGTCTGTGTCCAGATTTCCCCCTTTTACAGACATGAGCGCTCTGGATTAGGGCCCACTCTAATGACCTCATCTTAATTTGATGATGCCTGCAAAGATCCTATTTCTGACTAAGGTCACCTTCGTAGGTACTAGGGTATAGGATGCCAACATATCTTTTTAGGGGACACAATTCATCCCATAACACTATCCAAGGATACGTGGCTGGTAAAGTGTGGAATTAGATTTGCATTTAGGTGATGCTAGAATCTGACCCCTGGGCCTTCCGCCATCACGTATCCTATCTCAGTGACTGCACTTGGGGACATTGTATTGCAGTGCCTCGAGAAAGGGGAAGGTATAATAAGTGAAAAAAAATCTTGAAACTATCCATTAGAAATTTATTTACAAGAGCACAAAACTTTGGGTTGGTCTCAGACATTTCCTCTGCAACAGTTAGATGCCAAATGATTCCACAGGGTTTTGAGGGGGGAAGTTATGAGCTAAGAACTTTATACCCAGCAATTTGTCTTTCAGTGGGACAGGCAGGCATTCTCAAAAATGCAGGGGCACAAAAAATATTCCACTTGCTGAAAATCTATTTGAAGACACATTCCAGTGGTTCATAGGGTTTGGGATTATATAGACTAGAAAAAAAATTCAAGAATAATTTAGAAACCAACACAAGAGTGCCAACTTTTAACTTTATAAAGGGGTTTAAAACAAATCAAACTACCATCTGTAGTGTACATATAATCGCTTCATAGAAGATTATTTTAATGCCAAAAATACTAAAAGGATATAATGTGATAGCTGTTTAAATTAAATAGTTTTAAAAAAAAAAAGAACTCGTGTTTAATATATTTTACCCCAGAATAGTGAAAAACACTTTACACAGATAAGATCTCATCCGTGAACGGGTATTTGGAAACCAGGATCTGACAGACACAAGGACGACACCCACTGGAAATGATTCCTGGCCAGCATGCATGATTTATGCAACTGAGGGAAAAATAGCATTTGAAACTGACTGTAATCATTTCCATTTTCTGAGGACAGTTTCAGTGGGAAAATAAATCTCTGTAGCACTCCTCCCTTCCACATACAGAGGATGGTGGAGGGGAGAGGGAAGGAGATAACTTGTTCCCTCAACCGACATCTGGGTTTCCATTTAGTCTTTTCCAAGTTCTGAAAATATCCATGAAAGGACCACTCGTTTAAAATGATGTTTGCACATCCACATGTCATTAATTCTCCCTCTCAAATTCTCTCTGAGAAGAACATGCCTGCATTTGAAACCAGGGGTAGCGCCCATTTGGCTATATAATTTCTAAAAATTTCTGTAAATTAGAGTATAGGTGAGGTGAGATTGAGAAAAGAACGCATCAGTCTGTGATTCATGACATAAAGGGTGAGACTCGTGTATGGAGAGAGGGGGCCAGTAAGCAAAATTCAATCACTGGCTCCCTCCTCAAACCTTGAGCACGAGGGGCTGGGAGCCAGGACAAACAGAACCAGGGAGTGAATGTATCAGGTACAGACACACAGGCTGCTTGAAGTGTTCAGTCACATTCAGACTTGGAACGAGTTCCCAGGCGAAGGGAAGCCGGGCAGCTGCGGAGCTGGCTTACCGCTGAGGAAGTGGGTTCCAGTTGGGAAGGACTGCCTTGGAGCCTTGCCCTCAAGCCCTCGCTAAGTGTGCGCTCCAACTGCAGCCAGAAATAGAAGCTGTGAAGTGCCCGCCCTCATCTATTCCCTTCCCCTCCTGTCTGGTGTAAAGTAATGTGGTAAATCAGACATGGTTTCCCCTATCACGTAACAGAGACACCAACATTTAGACATAAACTGAGTAACAACTTTGCAACCTTTACTAAGGGACTCTACTATGGTGACAAGTACGTCCTCAAATCTAAACGGCATGACGCAAACAAAAGTTTTACCTGTTCTTAGAGCTGGATGCAGGCTGTGTGACTCAACACTGCCATCCTCCAAGCCACAACCAACAGATCCAGGCTCTTCCAACCTGTGACTCCACCTTTCTCAACATGAGGCCTCTGTGGTCACTACCTTAGAGGGAGAGAGAGTGTGAAGGACTCACCGTCCTCTTAATTCCCCCAGATCATAAATGGGAAATGCCTATTATATTCCCAGCCCATCAGTGCGAACTAATCAAATGGCTCCAACATGACTGCAGTGTCAGGGCGTCTCAGGACTGTAGGTGAGCAGCGAAATATACAGGTAAGACTCTACTGCAGGAACATAACAGAAGACAAAGTGAAACATGTACCACGTTTCTGAATTAGGAGAGAGAATATTGTAATGTTGTTAATTTTCTCTAATCTATACATAATCCCAGATCCCAAAGTTTTTCAGGAAGAATAAATGAGTAAGAATAGCCAAGAAAAGTTAGAAAGTAAAACGAAATAAGGTAGGTCTCTCTGCTAAGGTGTTAGATTGTACTGTAAAGCCCCAATAGCTAAAATTACTTGGTGGTACATGCCCAAGAATAGATAGAAAAATAAGTGGAGCCCGGCCAGGCGTGGCTCAGCGGTTGAGCATTGACCTGGGACCCAGGCGATCAGGGTTCGATTCCCGGTCAGGGCACATGCCCGGGTTGCGGGCTCGATGAATGACTCTCTCATCATTGATGTTTCTATCTCTCCCCCTCGTCTTTCCTCTCTCTGAAATCAATAAAGATATATTTAAAAAAAAAATTAATGGAAGAGAATAAAAAAATCTAACAACAGACCAAAGAAAGTATAAGTATTTAGCATATTTAGATAAGGGCGGCATGTTCCATCAGTATGGGAAAGGGTGCTTATATTAAAAACAGTGTAGGGGCCACTGAGCACTTGGGAGGAAATACGTGATGTCTATACCTCGCACTATTTCCAAAAGTTTATGTCAAGTGGATTAAAAATTTTTAATGAGTTAATAGAAGAAAATATAAGCTTAGGAAGCATAATCTAAGTATGTCTTAAGTAATAGACTCCAGAAAGATAAATATACATATATTTTTAACTTAAAAATTTAAAACTATTTTTGTGTCCAAAACAACTAATCAAGTTAAAAGACAATAAAAAATGAGGAAAGAATTGCATCACATATGACAGACAAGGGATTGCGCAACACTTTTAAAATGTGGATAGCCTTAGAGAAAAATAACAAATGCACAAAATGATATGAACAGGAAGGAACTCAATGCGGTCAGGATGCAGGAGGAGGTGTCAATTTGTATACTCTCTCTGGAAGGCAGTTTGTATTAAAAGCCTCAAAAAGTTCATATCTGTGCATTCTACTTCTAAGAATTTATCCTAAGTAAATAATAATACATTTGTAAAAATAATTAT